GCAGTACTCACCTTCCAATTCGAATTCTTCGTCTTCATCTGTATTGTCGATATCACGATTGTTGTTCTCTTTGTTACAATAATTTTTTTTGTACTCAAGTAATGATTTATACGAACTCAGTGCTTCTTTCAATGTTATTGAACATAATAAAACCATGTAGAGAGATGGTCGTTTATCAGTCTGAATTACCGTCATTATATGTTCAAAAGGTTTCAACACCAGTATCAATTGCTTGATTGTTCTTTCGTCTAAATCGTTCATTAAGGCTTGGTTTTTCTGGGCTAATAAAAATCGTTTCGTTGCTGGAAACGATTTCAAAAATCTTCCCAAAAGATCGGACATCGACAACCATCTAACTACCGTCCGATCGCCCATCTCTTCTTTTTCATAATCGATTCCAACCTAAATTCATAACACAAATGAAATGATTCTTCAAACAATAATCTTACCTTTTTAATATATTTCATAATTCTTCTACATTGGTTCAAAGTAGATAAAACGCGCGTTGCGCATGTTGGAGTTTGGTCAACTGTGATCTTTGTGGTGGGCGATTGTGCTGGACTTCTGAGTGAAATATTCTTCATCGACTTTTCTTTCGTTGATTTTCTTTGATCAACTGGGAAAGCGGTTTTAACAAGAAAGTAATTATCCTCTGATTCGTTGTCATAGTCATCATCGTCGTCGTCAGATGAAGATTCATTAGTTAAAGTGCCAGTACGGAGAGATTGTGTTGTATTTCGTGAACCAATGACAACTTCATTTGGAACCGAATTTGTATCATTAGATCTTTTCTTTTTACTTTGAAAAAAAGAAACTTTAAGAATGTCGTTCAGCCTATGACCAAAGCAGAATACTGGGCTCAAGCTGTTAAAGGCACAGATAAAATTCGATCCACAGTCACATATCATATTCACATTGTGTAAAGATAAAATACCAAATGGTTCCAAATTTTTGTAGAATGCCTAAAAAATTCATCACGGAATAACAAAAGATTTAACATCTAAATGATTGATTTAATTATTATCTCAGCGAATTTTATGTTAGCTAAATATTTGCACACTATTTCCTCTATGACATAGGTGAACTGGGTCTTTAAGGAGAACGATAAAGTCATCTTCACTACAGATAATTAGGTAATTCAATTCAAAATGATAATAAGTTTTCGTCGATCTGTCGGTAATTCTATGATGAAGAGTAAATTACTTACAGCGAGTGTTGATTCAGGTGTTTTCTTCTTGAATTCGAATGGTTGAGAGAAAAGATCAATTGATTCATATGTGTATTCATTATCAATAAATGTAATTGTCGCTGTCAAGTAGGACATTTTCTTGTAATTATCGGTCCAGTAATTAGGACAGATGGTTAACGAATGTTGTTGTAAAGGGAACGATATAATTTCTTTCACTCTTCTACGTAAATCATCGGCAATGGTAAAAACGTTACGAGAGAGCGTTTGTTCGCCACGAAAAACATGATTAACATCTATTGTTCCATAAATACAACCTATCAAATATATTTCAAATAGTTAAGATAACATTGTTGACATGTACGTCTCACTTATTTCTTACCTAAACGAATACATTCTTGAACTAATTTTCTTAACCCATCGTCATCTATTATACTGAAAGGTCTAATAGAACCACAAACCCATTCCACACATAATCTTTTTATTCCTTTAATATCATTTTCATTAATTTTCTTCGAGTGTTGATATTCAGTTTGATTCAGTGTCGACGAAGGCGATGACAGTCTGAGAGATGGCAAATCAAGGTTAAATAATGATGCATCGCTATTGGCTGAAGATGAATTTGTCGTAATTGAAGACATTGCTGCTAAATTCGATTTTGGCGAACATTTATCCGCATGTTCCTTGAAACGTTTTGTACCACTGGTGCTACTATAGGCTTGAGTATGCATACAGTTAAAGCAACTAATAAAACCGGGAATTCTTTCGAATATATTTGAATTGTTCAATTTAGCCGGAAAGCCAAAACATCTCCACCATTCAGCTTTGGATGGTGTTTTATTTTCGATCACTCGATACTTTTGTCTTTCATTCAACAAAAGATTTTTAATTCTTTCAGAATTGAAAAACATTCGATTTGCCGATAATGTATTCCCAGCATCTTCATTGGAATATTCAATCAAGTCAATTGTAGGTGTAGACTCTTCATTCGATGAAGAAGAAGATATCCGTAGTGCATTTCTATAAGAATTCATTAGCTGATCTACAAAGAAATGAAAATTGAAAAAAATGACTAATAACTCTTTGTCGGTATAATATTTTAATAGTAATGGAATCGAATGAATCTAATAGTGAATTTAACAGTTATACAAAAATAGCTACGAGAGATTCATTACAATCAGCATCTAAATAACAAAATTATTGATCATATCATGATTGAACTAATAGAAAAAGTATACTTATACAAAATACCAGATACACATATACCATTTACGTAATCACCACATATAACGCATTTATTTCCAAGTATATACAGTGCACGACAATCTATGTCACGTTGACTATTCCTAAAAACGTTATTATTACAAGTAGATGCTGAAAACAAACAATATCAAAGCATTCATATTGACGTAAATTGAGAGCAAGGCACACTACTTCTACCTTTTTCGTAAACGAAATATCAGTGGAGCATTTTATGCGAGAAATTCAGGAAAAAAGATTTAATCTCCTATCTGGAAAATCTTGTTTGGATGAACAAAAGTAACTGTGTACGAAGCGAGTTTCACCATTCTTTGTTGTGACAGTAACAGGAAATGGTTTTTTGAATATCTAATCTCATTTGTACATCTTCTGCACACAATACTTAGTTTTCTAATGAATTTTTGGACACCATTTATAATAATACGACATTGGAAAATGTTCATCAACAGAATATCTGATAAGATCATCCACTTTGCCTGGTTAATTCAGATAACTGATGAGTTGATGAAACTACATTGAAATATCTCAATATCATCATGTACTGAAGAAGATACGAACTGATTTTGCAGGTGAATCAAAACTATCCAAGTTAGTATCACATGTCGTGTCAACGCGGTTGACTACAAAGAAATACTGATTTCTTCACCAATTCGATCATCATGTATGATTAAGTCATCATCTCTATTAAGAAAGCCTAAGCTCAACGGTGACAGGATAATGACTTCGCCAGTAGCTTCTGAGATGATAATTATCAAACATGTAAATCATACGGCAACCTATAATTATTCGTATTGTGTTTGATCTGTTTGCGTATCATGATTGCTATCATCAACAAGAAGGTCAGTCATATAAGTTTTAATCGACGACACAAATGGTTGCTGTTGTATAGGCAAAACTAAAAAGACTATTGGTATTTTCCAATGGATTCAGAATGTAGATGGATCGTTAAAAAATACACATTACATACCTTTTCTTCTTCATTTGTGTTGGTTCGAGAATGTGGAGATAACATTGATATTTTTTGTTTAAATAGAAACAGAAGCTACACATTGTTCTCTTTATCTATTTTTTACGGTTGACTAACTGATACTTTTTGCGTTCTCTCGCTGCTGCATTCAACGATAGTTCACTCGATAGCACATCGAAAGGGACGATTTCTATTCATAGTTTAGAAGAAATGTCAGGTCATGAAGCTTTCGAGACTCTTATGACTCCAATCATTTGTTCACGACTTTTTCGACCAACTCAAACAGTGCTTTGCTCTCCTAGGATACATCGACTTATAGTGATTTTGTTTACCATCTCTGTTCATAATACTGCTCAGTGAAAAGTCTTCAAAAAACAAATCATTGCCATCATATAGCATTTACGTCTTTGAATATTTCTGATGTAGTTATGAAACTTTATTATGATATGAGTCATCCAATTTGTTCCGCGAAGAATATTAACATATTAACCGTCTCTATTATTATAATGTGCTGTACTCCTTACTGACAAATCGATGTACAACAAGAAAATAGACAATAAGTAACGTTGCAATTATTGTCAATTAACGTTCCTTTGTGTCGAACAAATGTGTACAGGTGAAGAGAGAATGAAAACGTTATTGTTATTATCTTCAAAGTAGATAGTAAGTAATGATCAAGCTTTGTGTCTTCAGGTCATGTTGAAGCGGACTTTACGCTTTGTTTGAATGAAGATATTTTTAGAAAGATATATAAGAATGATCAAATCTTTATTGTTCGTATCTTTAGGTCGTGATGAAACGACCTTTCCTTTCTATTTATCTGACTTTACGTACATTGTGTTGTATGAAAATATTTTCGAAAAGACAGGTCACAACGGATAAACCTTTTGTTCTTTGCGTCCTCAGGTCGTGATGAAACGACTTCTTCTTTCTATTGGTTTTATTTGACATACAGTTCACTGTATCGGAATTTTTTCGAAAGAATAATCTCTCTATCGTATGACATAGGTAATGTTAGTAGTTTGAGTAGTGTAGAAACCGTTAACTCGATTCAAGTATTAAACTACTCATTCGAGTTTTAAGCTCTTCAACTTTTAAATTTATGAATCTAGAATTCGAAGCTTGTTAAGGTGTCATTTGAAAGTTTGGGACCGATGATTCCGGCAGTATGGTTTATCTGCCCAGGTGTGCCACATTTCGTTTTGTCTCTGTACTATGTGACCTCCAATACCCTTACACTCTCAAGATGCCACACGTTTGGAGGATGGACCATTTTTTAAAGAAAAACTTGTTCTTGACTACCATAATCATTTCATGTTTTTTGTCAGCGCCGCCTTTTTCAATACATGATGGAACCCTAATTGGTTGTGATGACTTCCAAATAAAATTCTGCGTCGAATGGTGTCGATTGAGCGGCGGTCCGACTATCCTATCTGGTGGTTTGACCAGTGAATACTAGTAAACTAGTGATTTTTACCAGTATACCCTGCTGAACTAAGATTATTTTTGCACGTTACAATTTCCATAATTGACAAATCATACCAAATTAACGATATATGGGAGTCACTGAAACTGTTGACTGATTTAATGATTGGTCAATCGATTTATATCCTTCGTTCATGTGGCGATACTGATAAGCAGAACGTATCTAATCAATCATGTCTCATTGTTGCCACATTATTCTTTCGTCCTGTGCTTGACAATGATAACATGGTCTCAGTCTACCAGTTAACTCCATTATCAGCCATTGTTAATCATGAGCAAATTATTTATTCCAACCTACCACGTATGATTGCCATTAAAAAACGTGATCATTCAGTTATGACATGGAATACCATGCCCGAAACGAATGAAAGCTTTTTCTCACATTTTATCTATTGTTCAAAAAGACCGCCGCTCATTCGAATGAATCAGTTGCCGTGTTTACCACAGTTGTTGAACGATGATCGTAATATTGGCACTTCGTGTGCCGTCACACGTTCATTTAACATAGAAACGAATCTTATCAATATAATAGATGATGTTTGGCTTTTTTTCTCACGACGAATCGCCAATCCTCTGCAATTTACAATCGAGTATTGAACCATATAACACCTTCACCATTATCGACGAATCATGGCCTTTTCGCTTTCCATGTGAGTATACAATGACTTCTTCCGACATAAGCATATCCGCGTCCAGCTGCATCGATCATAATCTTTTAATCAAATCGACGGTTACCGGCGAATATGAATTACTGCTGAATGCACCAGAATTGCATATCAATCGTCGACAACACAGTTTGTCAACAGCTTTTTGTACGTGATTTAATATTATTGTATTAGCTTTTATTCTCCCGCTCGTATATTTACTTTATCAATAAAACTAAGCTCATAATCTAATTTTACACTGCCTAATTTTGATGAAAAGTGTTCTGCTTTTGCAACTTGACGAAAAAAGAGATCATTAGAACTTCCTTTGTTCTAAATTTCAAACATTTTGCTACTAATTGGCGCAAGTTCTGCTCATTTATCGGTATAGTGTCAGTTAATCAACTCGTCTTATTATATTTAGCACTTCTTCATTTCTTTCTTCATCATGGCAACTAGCACATCGATCGTTAAGTTTGGAGTGACCACAAAAGGCATGCGTGTGGTTTTGTTCGATAGATACATCTACACATTGAACCAGAATCGTGGGAAAGTGAAATACTGGCGATGCCAAGGTCGCACCTGCTCTGCTTTTGTTCATACCGATGGCAACGACAACTACAAAGCACATTCGAGTACTCACAAGAGCCATCTGCCATCGCCTGAGCGAATCGAACTTCTTGACTTTAAAAGAAAAGTCAAGGAACGAGTAATCAAGGAGACAACGGCGATTGCTCGTATACACGATCAAGAGCTTGCAGCGGCAAGGCTGAGTCAAACTCTGTTGATGTTAGCTCCTTCTGCTGGCGACAGTCGTGAGTATCTCCTTCTAAACTCTGTGTTTATCTTTCATTTGACTCAATGCGTAGAGCCATCTCTATCTCGCCTTCGTCTACAAACAACACCAGCTCTTTCCACTTCGCGTGATTTTGACATTCCTGACAAATACGGTGAAACTCTCGCCGGCAAACCGTTTCTTCTCATCGATACACTGATCCGTGGCAAGAGAATGTTGGCATTCGCCAACGAATTACAACTGGTCATCCTATTTAATTTGAAACATATCTTTATCGATGGTACTTTTTCGATCTGTCCACCATTTTTCGACCAGGTCTTTACTATTCATGGCGTTCACCACGAATATGGTGAGTTCTCATTCCATTCGCTAATTTATGTATGCGTGATTTGTTTTATGTCTAGTTGTGCTCTGTGTCCTCGCTCTACTTCCTGGCCGATCTGCTACCGTCTACAAACACCTATTCCAGATGCTTGACGAGTAAGCCACAGGTTTGTACATGTCTTTCGAACCAGAAATGATCATGAGGGACTTCGAGAGTGGCTTGATCAAGACTGTGAAACAGCATGTATGTTCTCTACCTCATTTTACCTTAATATCTACTTTTTTGCTTTCGATTTCCTGCAGTTCCCAATGTCTAGACATATCGGCTGCTACTTCCATTACACACAGAGTATTCATCGTAAAATACAGACGCTTGGATTGTGAACAGTCTATAAAGATGACGAAGAAGCTCGCTTTATCTGTCAACAATTAATGGCACTCGCTCTTTTGCCATTGAACAAAGTGGAGCCTGCATTTCAAGCACTTGCCGATAATCATCCTGAGCCGCTGGATGAATTGTTCGAGTACTTCGAAACTTTCTGGATAGAAACCACATCTATCGATTTATGGAACGTGTTTGATCTTAAAACGCGGACGAACAACAACGCTGAGGGTAAGACTCTTTCTTTCATCTGTATTCATTACACTCGACGATCTTTTACTTAGGCTGGCACAACAGATTTTCTTATCGCATTGATAAAAAACATCCCAACATCTGGCATTTTATTCGAGTTCTCCACGAAGAAGAGATTCACTTCAATCAACACGTTCAGCACGTGCGCATGGAGAAAAAGAAGGTGTATGGGCAACGCACATGTCGTATGCAAGAATGCCTTGAAACTCTTGCAGATCGGTTCAAGAAGAAACAGATCGATCTCATGGACAACCTTCAGGGTCTATCGCTTCTTGTTGCGAAGAAAAAAATAACTTCCACCAGAAGCAGCATAATTCTTGAGGGTGGGTGGCTAACACCCTCAAGAATCCGCTGCTACCTTCCATCACGTACTAGGTGCTCATGTGAGAAGATTTTAGCAAGCAAAATGAGGATGAGTAAAATACAAGGGCAAATTATGAAATATTTGAATCATTTGAATGCAACAGTTGCTATTTATTCCTTTTGAAGAACACAAGAGATCCGATATTATACATTTAGTAAAATGGAAGCGGCCACTAGGCCGTATTAGTTGTAAGCATAGGAGAAGATTTTGACATATCTGTTGTCTTTCGAATTAAGTTGACTTTTGTCAGTTCGCCTGTTTTTTCGTATTTATGGAATAAGGCCGAACAGATTGAAAGTTAACTCACATGTTTGCATTAGAGCAAGTTAAAAATGAAATATACATTGGATGAGCTCTTGGAATGACATGGGGCGGGTGAAAGGCCGGAGCGAGAATGGTTAATAGATAGACATTCATTTGGAGAATCGCATAGAAGATAAAAATTGAAATAGTCAGATAACCAGAATGATTTTTTTAAAAGAAATATAACTATTATATTGTTGCGAACAACATCAATCCATTATCGGTTGCTAATGCTAGAGAGGAGAATAAAATCTATGCTTTAGATCACATTATTATGTGTAATTTCTATAACTCTGATGAGAACTGACCTATTATACGCGGGTTAACTTTTCGGTTTGGAAATAGTAAACTGATTGTGTACGCATCAATGGCTAGCCGTGAGTGACCGATGAACGACTAGGCGCTAGCGTCCCAGATTAACTTTAGAATATACATTTGAAATAACATTATCATACTTGAAGAAAGCTTTTTAAAAGGAATTTCATGAATGTTCCTTCATGAAAATATTCAAAAGAGTATCATTTTCGTGAAAGTAGAAAACAGATTATAAAGATTGATGGGTAGCCGTGAGTAGATGATCATAGGGAGGCCTACGAATGACCAACCATTAAGCGGTGGGGTTTTTAGTAAGCATGGTTAGTGCTTGAAAACTATTCTCTGACAAATGAGTAATTGATTCGGTTCATGAAAAAAGAAGAATCTTTGTCTTCTATTGGTTCTCGTATGGGACACAATGCCATGGTCTAGTTGAAATCCAGTAGTAACCGCAGTGCCCTATTTGTTTTTCAGTGTGTCTGAAAATGTTTAGCAGTAGAACAATTGTTTCAGAAAAGGGTCCGCAAATCCATAGGACAAGCGTTACTTGTATTTTATTGAGTTTAAATACTAGAAATTTCGAAAGTTCGCCAATTTTACACACTCCACAGTATTTCCTAACAGTTATAGTTTGCATATGAAACAGAAGTAATTACTGTAGAATATCGAAATTATCGACGTTTTCTTTAGCATAAAGATAAATATCAGGATTAGTTCTTGGTCAAATGTCACTTCATATAAAATGAAAAAGTACTTTTCATTGACTGAATTAAATATCTCTTGCACAGTGTTTACATGTACAAAACATGTCGAGTATTCGCTTCAGTGCTTATAATCATAATTACGAAGAAAAAAAGGTATATAAAAAAACGAAACAGAAGAGATAAGCATGTGCTCGAAATGAATAGAGGAAAGAACAAACAAATTATTAGAGAGTAATATTCGGTTGCGAATAGAAATTATTTTTTATGTCAATATATGATGGACTAATCATCCATTTTTTCACTTCAAACAAATTAACTAATGTATTGGTCAGATTCATAATCGAATATTAGTAACTATACATATTGTGAATAAGTTATTTTTCAGATTGAGATGACAAATTCAGATACTGATCATAAATCAGTTGATAACAACGACGATGATGCGGACATTTTCAGAGAAGGACATCCAGATCCGATATCAACTTTGTGCGCGTCGATTTCTGTAGGTCCACTCATATCTCCCAATGATAACAGTCAAATGAAAAAAACAAAATCAAAATGGTGGTGAGACTTTTCTATTCTGAATTGTTTTGGCAATTAAAATCGGTTTTCGTTAGGAATTATTCGTTGTCTAGAATGCCCAAAACGATGAGAGCAACAGCTGGACTTATCTTACTTGCTATCGCAGCTATTATAATCGCTGTTCCAACTGTTTGTCTCACAGAACCAAGTAGGATTTTCTTCATTATCATAATTTAACACGGTATGAAAATGGAAAATCTGTGCTTTTAGAAAATAGCAATGCAACCACTACCAATGATTCGACGACAGGCACTAGTGAGTATCACATCTTCGTTATAAACTTCTGACAAAACCATCTTTCAGTTGATTTATCTTCACTTCGTTGGAGTATAAAGGCTACAAGTACCGCCGGTGTGTCAAGTCAGCCGGATGCCGATGCTCGGGCACTTTCTTTTTGTATTGGTATAACATTTGATGCATCAAGTACATTGTTCATTGCTGATTATGAAAATAATCGCATACAGAAAAAGATTTCTAATGCACCGAATTCAACAACAATTGTTGGTAAAGCTAATACAAACTCAACAAACACGTCAACAACATTGAATCTACCGACTGATGTAGCTGTGGATTCAACTGGAAATATTTTCGTAGTTGATAGTGCAAATCATCGAGTATTATTATGGACTGCAAATAATTCATCATTAACGATCGTAGCTGGGACAGGTATGAAAAATGAAATTGATCGATTTGATAAAAAACGAAGTTTTTAGGTTCCATTGGCTCGGAAATCAACGAATTAAATACGCCATGGGGAATTGCATTGGATGGAAATGCCAATAAATTTTATATCGCAGATCAATACAACAATCGGATAATGCAATATGAACTTGGATCATTGAGTGGAACAATAGTTGCTGGTGGAAATGGTGCAGGAAAAGATACAACCCAATTATTTTGTCCACATGGAATTTATTTTGATTTAGCAACAAAAAGTCTCTACATAAGTAATTTTGCTGCGAATAACGTTGTTCGTTGGGTCATTGGTGATCATAGTTGGACACTTGTCGCTGGAAGTTTGACTGCTGAATCTGGCAGTACATCAACTTTACTTTATTATCCATCTGATGTTATACTCGATGTTTCAGGGAATATTTATGTAGCTGATACCTATAATCATCGAGTTCAATTATTTCTTTCTGGTTCGAAAAATGCTACGACTATTGCTGGCACTACTGGAATATCAGATTCCAGTCCACTGGCACTTAGTTATCCATATTCATTAGCGTTCGATAAACAGTATAATCTTTATGTTGCTGATTCAGGCAATTATCGCGTACAAAAACTCTTGCGTTATTAAAAACATGTCACATAACTTTTTATTTTTTTATTTGAACAAATATTCAGTATTTATAAAAAAAAAAAGAGGAAGTTCAGTCATCAGTGCTCACTAAACTGCATGTCACTTGGCCAGGTGCACTAGTGAATACTGGAAGATTTGTGATATCGAACGGATTTGTTCCCGTTTCGTAAAATTTGTACCGAAGTGTGCCAATACAATTTTGATTTGTCCCACTTTCGAAATTGAAAAAATAATCATGAAATGCGAAATGGCCGTTACTAGTTAAAACTTCGACTTCATTACTTTTGAAAATATAACCAAAATCAGTCAAATGAACAGTTGTTGAATTCAAACATTCATAAAAGCCAACATGAGGAGCAAATTGTAAATTTTGACCAAGTGTGTCAGCATTTAAACCATTGGCTATGTTACTGATTTCATAAACAATTCCATCAGGTAAAAATAACATGAGAAAATAAAATGGTGCATATGTATAAAAGCGAGTTTTTACTTGATAAATTTTGTTTGTAAATAACGCACAGTCACCATCATCACAAACGAGAATCCCGCATAATGAGAATAATAACAAAACGATAGTAAGCTTTCGCATGATCACAAGAAGATTTATCTACAAAAAAGAATTGAAATAAGTTTTATTTTCCTTTAAAAAAAAAGTTCATATTTAGAAAATTTTCTTTACAAAATCCCAGTTTATGTATTGGGTGGCCAACGATAATGTCTTCCACTTAGAAGTTCACAAGTTAAATTTCGATCAGCTTCTGTATAAATCGGAATATTTTGAGTGTCGAATGGATCTTGGCCAGGGGTAAAATATGCTGATTGAATATAACCCGTACATTTGTCATAAGAAGTATTTTGAAAATAAAAATGATACGTTTGAATAATAAAAGCATCGTTACCTCCTAATGCAGGAAGTTTACTAATTCGAAATATATAACCAAAATCAGTTAATTCAATGGTATTTTCATCGATGCATTCGTAATATCCTGTTCGAGTACCAAATTCAAGACGAACACCAAGTTCAGCCGAACTTTGACCATTTTGGATATTAGTTTCTTCGAAAAAAACTCCACCGGATAACAAAGTTAACAGCATAAAATATGGTTTGAAATCAGGAAAAGCTGTTGTGACTTGATAGATGATATTTTCAAACGCTGAACAGTTAACAGTTCCTCCATCGATGGTTATTACAAACGATAAAAGCAAAGAAACGATCAACTGCCTGTGCATAATGATGAATGACAATATATTAATTAGGGGAGAGAGATATGAAAAGGTAAATACAAACGAAAGTGAGTCACTTCATGATTAGTTCGCTTGTTTTTCTCTCGTCGTTTTCGATCACCTATCGTTATTTTATGTCATTAAAAAGAAGTCGTATCGTTGGGAAGTAAATAACAAAAAGAAAAACTTTTTTCACTCAAAAACTTCGCGAAAAAATGCTGAAATATTCCATAATCATCTTTGTGATATCGATCATTGTATTTTCTACTAATGGGCAAGTAAATAATTGTCTTTCTTATGAAAATAATATTTATCAAGTAACAACAACATTTCCGAATTACAAATCATTTTACAGTATGATTACATTGTTACCCAAAGGTTTATCGTATGAAGTGATAAGTATCGCTATGGGAATGAACGAAGCTGAACTTGGTTTGAATTTGAAAGTCAGTACACTTATAGGTCAATATCAATGTGCAAATACAAGTTCGGTTTATCTGAAAAGTGTTGGCTATCTTTTCAAAAGTGATGAAACAGCTATTCTTCCGACAATGGATCGTATATCTCGTCATGATTATTATTTAAATTTTCCTGCCAATGATTCAACAATTTGTACTGGTCAAGTTACATATACTTATTTTCAAACGGGTTCAAATCCTTATATTAGTTCGAATAAACCAATCTTTACATTTGCACATGGAAACATCACCTGTTCTTTATTACCACGGAAACATTATACAAAATTAACAAACACTACACAAGCATAAACCTATTTTTCAATGTTTTACATTTTATTCAGTTCGAAAAAAAGTTGTTTACAATCTTAAAATCGGATACTCAGTAGGTTCTTCGTTTTCAATGTCTTCCACTTGCTTGTCTGTTGTCGATTCTTGGAAGATTATATTACTTTTGAGCATTTGTCTAAACGGGTGCGATTCAGGCAAAGTGCAATTATTTGATTTTTCGAAATATTGATTAGCAAGTTCATGTTCATTATGAATCGTATGCAAAACAGCTAGATTATATGCACCTCCAGCTAAATCTGGATGATCAGGTGGTAAAATTTTTTCTTTCAATTCGTGAGCTGTTTTGAAAGCATTCATCGCTTGTTCGTACTCGTTCTTTTGATAATGTAAATTACCAAAATTGTTTAAACTAAGTGCAAGGTTTGGATGATTCGATGGTAAACGTCGTTGAAAGATTTTCTCTGCTCGTTTAAAATAAATTGATGCTTGATCATAATCTTCCTGTTGACAAAAGATATTTCCCAAGTTAACAAGTGTTCCACCAATATCTGGATGGTGTCGATTTACTGTTCTTGTATACAATTTCAGTGCACGTTCAAACGATTCTTTTGCTTTGTGAATATCTCCTTGTTCGATGTATAGAATTCCAATTGCATTGATTGTTTTCGCTGCGCTCATTAGTCGAGGTGGTCGAGCTGTTAAATGTGTTTGATACGAACGATTGAAACATTGAAGTGCACGATCGAATTCGCCTTTGCGACGATGAGCTCGGCCAATATTATGGTAAATACAGGCGATTTCTTCATCATTTGGATTCGATGAATATAAAATGGCATAAAAATACTTTTCTGCTTTGATATATTCACCCATTTCGACAAGTAAATGACCAAACATAAGGACCATATTTGATTCTGCCATTTTAGCCTTTTGATATTCAATATATTCCTCAGCAGCTGCTGCACCTTGATCTGATGCACTGGCTGTGACGAACCAAAGATCTTCTTCTTCACTGTACGTACACGAATCGATCTGAAACGACGCTCCTAAATCAACGAGCATTTCTGCTTCTTCGGGAAAGTCGCTGTATTTGCGAATATCTGCAACGATAATCTTCTTGACAACGGTTATATCGACTTTATATTCAAATAATACTCGTTGAAGATTCGGTCGATTGACTGGCTTCGTCGCGAACCCATACGCCACTTGTCGCTCGTTACTTGTGGATAAAAATCCATTCGTTGAAATCAAATTTCCAATATTATTTTCAAAATTACGAATTTCTTCTCGTGAAGCTTTGAAGCCACGATAAAGATGTAAAACCGGATCTGTTCGCGTTGCTTTGAGTTCTTGAAAATTTTTATCTAACTCCACACATAGATCAACGATGTAATACCGAAAATGATAAAGAGCATCGACATCTTCTGTTCGTAGAGCTTTGTTGATCAATTTGTAGACGAAAGATTCTCTTGTATACCACGGGATTGCTTCACTCGACTCGTATGTTTCTTCGAATTCAGTGATGTTGGCCAATTCAGCTTCATTTCCTCGATAATAATCACGACATTTAGAAATCATCATTGTTTTCGCTTGTTCGGTTTTCGTCATACTCAGAAGAGCAGTTTTAAACAATTGAAAAAAGAGAAAAGAACCGGTTTCACGAGTCAGATCACGAGTGGCTTTTTCGGCTTGATTATAAACGGAAAAGGCCGCTGCTTGTTTACCGAGTTCAAATCGTGCTTGTTTTACATTATTGACCAATTCAGTTTCATTGACACAATGTGCTTTGAGACGTGTTGGCATCCGTTCAGGGATTTCGTGTGTATAAAGAAAGATCGAATCGATTTGTTTGTATGGTTCAACCGTAGTGAGAACATGATCGACATCACTTTGAATAATTAGAAAAAATTTTTCATCATTTGCTGACTGAAGACATGTTATGACTTCTTCGATAGTTTTATAAACCTAAGAAACGAAGCAAATGATCACATATCTCAAAAAATCGTTCATTCTACCTTTACAACTGTACTGACAATACGAAGAGACTGAACCAATGGATGTTCTTCTTCATTGTTGACCTCGCTTGTTAACCAGATGACTGTTACATCCTCTTGACTATTATCTGCTGTTGATCGACCTTGACGTCTCGTACGATCTGCAGTTCGTACAGTTCTATTCCGAGTAGTTCTTCCCGTCTTCCGAGTATTAAGTTCGATTCTTCCTTTGAATGCTGTTCGAATATTACCGAGCATTTTCTTTACGGCCGATGATATAAAAAATGAGTCGCGATAAATAACGATAGAGGATGCATGATCGATTTTTGTTTCTTTTTCTCGACATTTCGTGAGCAGTGATGACTAGTTCGAAAAGAGAAAAACAAATGTAATTAAGAACGAAATAAACGATACGAATATGACTTATTCATTTTTTCGACGCGTGTTACTTTGATGGTGCATTCCGAAGAACGAAGAACGTTCAACTATGTGTGTGACAGTTCCATATTAGATCATGGAACTGGAATTGGCCAAACCAGTTCATCTCATTGGGGCTGAGATTGAAAACCAGTTCATTTCGTTCGAACTGAGATTAAAAACCAGTTCAGTTCGTTCAAGGAAACTGACCGGTGTATTGTATAAACCCTCTCGATTATGGAATCTTTGAAGTCACGTCTGAATGCTTCCTTATTCCTTTTTAAATCTAGGAAATATCACCTTAAATACATCCACGACTTTCGTGAGGGGTATATTGAGGTAGAGTATTATCATGGCGAATCTTGGTATTAAAATTTGTAAGAATTTCAACACAGGTTATCTGTTTTCAACGAGGCTCATTGTAAAATAGTTACCGATTGGCGACATCGCACACTATGATAAAAGAAAAACAATAGTAGCTTTCATCAAGTTCAAGTATACACGCTATTTGTCCTCGTTTTTATGTCGACGATCGAAATACAAATACGATTAAGACATTTCGCTTCATGCCCTATTTAGATTAATGATCTATGCTTAAACATCACTCGATGGATATCTGTTAAGAAGCCGAGACAGTATGTTTGTTTTATTAAGTTCTTGAGACATAAGTACTTTATTGACAAGATCACGGAATAAAAACCACATTAAAAAAACAATTGTTCAACAAAAATGGGTTTCTAATAAAATAAAATAATCATTCATGGACAAGACTTAATCAATCACCTTTGAACTTTATCGAAAAGCATTTAAATCTTGTCCTTTAAGAACATCCCATATTTAATATTTCTGGAGGTTAGAGCCAAACGGTTTTTTCGAAGAATATAATTTGAAGTTGAAAATGCCGATTCACTTGGTACACTGCTTGCTGCAATTGATAAATACTTATGTGCAACAACGGAAAGTTTAGGTAAATTATTCCCATGCTCTTGCCAAAATGAATCGAACTGCAAATCATTCTTCGGAATTGAACATAATTTTGCAATTTCTTGTTGAATTGTTAACATTTTTTTGACGAAGTTTGATCATTACCAGATCCAACACCACATTTGCTCAAAAAATTTTTCATTACAATTCCACCTTTTGACGTGCATGGCATCGTTACTGTTGTTGAATTCGCATTTGCGCCTGCAGTAGTCATAGAAGACGCTGCTATTGACAAATCATTCGTCGGAGTCATTGTGCTTTTTGAGCGACGTTTTTCATTGACCTAAATCAATAATTCATTCGAAATTTATATCGGAGCAATGTCAAAACTTACTTCGTTAATGATGAAAGATTCGGCGGCTTCTTTATCATCAAGTGTAAGCAAGTCATGTATAAGAGGATCCAGAAAAGCTGCTGCACGAATGAATGTCATTGCTTTGCCGTCACGAACCATGTATTTCTCAAAGGAATTAATAAGCATATCCTTGATGTCATTTTCGAATACGTCGTTCGATCGATTGTTGAAACAATGGGACAAGCTAGTTATAATCGCGTAAGCAAGAGATGAAGTTGGATATTTTTGTCCGGATAAAACTTTCGTTGCTTCTTCAAATCTTTCCAAAACACGTCGAAGAGTTTGAATTAAATTCCAATCATTTCTATCGAATTTCGATTTCATAAGTTTATTACGTTGTTTATTGGTAACACCAGCTAACGAATCAAGCTCTCCATAAAACTTCTCGAGAACATTTTGATAAACCAAAACTCGCTGTAACATCTTGTACGAAGAGTTCCCACGAACTCGCATGTTAAGAACAAGACCAGCTTTGATTGATGATGCTTTGGCAAGATCATGAACAGTTTCGTTTAAAATACTAGTTTTTCGGATAGTTGAAACAATTGTTCTACATTTTTCCATTAAAGTAGTGACATCCTTGATCAGAAGCGATGATGATGTTTTGGCAGAATCTCCATCGCCTTCCGATGTTGTCGTCGATGAGTCATGATTTTCGTCGGGTTGTTCACCATCACTTTCAGATAATGCTTCATCAGAATCATCATCTTGATCGAATTGTTCATCGTCCTCTTCTGCATCGGCATCTGATTCTGTTGACTCGTTGTTATGATCCATCGCTACATCATCATCCGATGCTTCATCATCAGCAGATTCAATGGAGTTACTTCGAAAAAGTGAAACATTACAGATTTTTTATTATTACGTGGAAACTTACTCCTGTTCATCGGAAACATTTCCAACTTTGGCTGTTGCTCTTGTCTTCTTTGACCAAAGATTTAAACCGTGATGAATCGTTAAGTTTAACGCATGAGCCAAACAATGAAGATGAAGTCCAAATAGACGAATTTGAGTCGTGGCTGCCTTCACGTTTGAACCATTATCCGTCGTTGTCGCTCCGATTTTATCGAGTAAATTAAAATGAACCAAAACCCGTTTCATATGAAGACGAATTCGATTTGCTACATGTCGTCCTCTAAACTTACGAAAGCTTAGTACGTACCCTTTGAGACGAAAATTAGAATCAAGCCAATGGATAGTGATGCATAAATAATGACGACATCGAGCACTTCGCCATAAATCGAGAGTGAGAGATAAATTTGGCACTTCCGATAATTCAGTTTTGAAGTCATGCTGCTTCTGGAAGTCTAATTTCGATAATGTTCGTTGAACTGTTCGACTTGCCGGGCCTGCATAGCCAGGAATAGCCACCGATAAAAATTTGCTCATTCCATTCCGTCTAAAATCACCGCAAGATCGACCATCCAAAACTATGCAATTGATTGCAGCTTCGTCCGATTCCTGTTTTTTTCCAAGGGGATATGCGTTCGTGGAAATCGTTGACTTTTGCTGGCTAATTCCATCTTTCCATGTTGTAATGCTAAATGTCGCCGAATATTATTGTTTGTATCAATACCGTTTCGAATAATCTATGAAAAATAATGCAAAAAATGCTAATATTTAACCTTATTGACATTTCAACGCATGCGACTGGAATAGTTAATTATTTCGAACAATCCATTCTTATTATCTCGTTTAACCTGGAAATCAAAGCTTTTCTCTTCAAATCAGTATAGCTTTTACCTTTGAATATAATTTACATTGATATTCTTTGGGTGATAATTTAACTGCATGTTCATAAATGGGTGAAGTAAGGGTGGGCTAGTGCAAAACTCGAGCAAATTTTTTTTAGTGAATTTTTTATGGAATCCGATGCAGTTTGATGCGCTGCATCCGAATATGTATGATTTATTTAGATAAAAAGTTTTCTTCCCGCTGAAAATCGAAAAATACTGCAAAAATCGAGGGTTTCAAAAAAACAGGTTTTCTACCAGGATTTTGATGCTAGAGCTGCGAAAAAATTTACTATAGCTCTGAAAGTTTTTTCTTCTGATTCGGCATTGAAAACTGATTCAAGGACACTACTTTTTGATCGCTCAATGCATATCTTTATCATTAAAAAAATTATTTCTGTTCACAAATCGACTGGTCGAGTGAGTCTCATTAAAAATGCATCAACTCATTTTCTAATTAAGATATAGACTTTTTTCTTTCACCGTTCGACTCCTTGGATGCCCTAGATATAATCTACGCATTATCTTTCCTTAACTCACTTTCTTTCTCAATATTTTCCTTGGTATTTCGCGACGTCTCCTATCATACATGTGTTTTTTATGTTTACCAGCATTTTTCACGCTTTTTTTGTTGTCTAATGAAGCCTTATGTCTATAATGATACAGATCTTTATTTTAGTCATTTAGAAAATCTATCAAACTACTTTTCAAATATCCGTAGATATGTTTGACTTTACTCTGAAGTGATATTTTTTTAATTAAGCTTTAAAGAAATATTAGTAATAGCAGATCCAATTAGTTTGAAAGAAATGATGTTTTCGTATTTACTAAATAGTGATAATAAAATATATTTTAACAAAAAAAAGGAAATAGATCACTGCATAAATGTTTTAAGCAATAGAATCCGTTGTTCAAGTTGGAATTAGTTATTTGACGATGTGAAATGATGTTAGGTTTGCACATTGAACTGAAATACAACTTGAGAACATCTTCATAAGAATCACCACGTTCGTAAGCAGCTAAAGAACGCCAAAATCTCCTGATTAATTTCAAAGAAATATTCTTCTCAATGAAATTTATTCTTCATTTGTTAATTAATTTGAGCATGGTAGGGAATGTTTGGTCTGTTCGACGTCGAACGAATTGTTTTTGGTGTGCCCATAATCCTTCTATAGGATTTAACTCGCAATGGAACTTCGGCGAGAAACTAACTGCTACACCATAGTCATTAGCCACCATCTCTAATTTTGAAATCTAAAACCAAACGTAATAGATTACCATATCAGTGGTTTAAAAAATGATTATCATTAATAGAAAGCTTTCCCAAGACGAGTAATCCGGGCTCCGGATCCCATCGGATCTTGTCGGAAAACTTACTAAATCCGGCAGATTCCTTCAGGAATCCGATAGGTTTTTACAGGCTTTTCTGATTACAATTATTTGTTTTTTATTCACTTTTTTTAGCATTTATTTTCAATTTGTCTGCATAAAAAACAACAAAAAACTATTTTACAATGACGAAAAATAGATGCATGAAAGATAACTGAAACATGGACGATTCTTTTCTAAAGAGAAAACAAATAAGAGTTAAAACTTCTTACCTGGGTAACTAGAATCTCAAAAGAAGTACATATACGATAAATGAAGAGTTACTTACCATCACTATCTCGTCTTGCTTAGTATTAGTACAAGTAAAAAGCACATACCATGAAAAAAGTTTGAATTTTTGCAGTATCTGCTAGTTATCGTTGACCAGTGGAAAAACAAAAATTTTAATTATGATATTCGATTCTAAAATGAAAAATAGAAAAAAAATACCACTAAAAAAAATTTTCGATTCAAATTAGAATAACACGAAAGTAAAAATGAACGTATACTGTCAAAGAAATGAACCTTGTTCATGTAAATCGTTGTATAACCTACTGACCATTTACATGTAGTGTAAATAGAGGTCACTAAAATCGACATATATTCTCTTCAGATGTTGAACATCTACAGTTTGCAAATATACTGATAAATTTCAGTTATAGAAGGCCTTTCATCGTCGAATCATCGTTGAAAATCTATCAGGAATAATAACTGGGTAGAGTAACTCACATAATTCTTGATGGTGCAATACACTGTTGAGTCCGACACATTCCGACAGTCGGATTATGTCGGATCCAACAGGTTCCAGGTGTCGGAAATATATGGATCCTGTTGTCGGAATCCTGGATATTCCGACGGCAGGATGTAAGCGGAAACTGAAGGATGTGCACGGAATCCCATCGTTGGAATCCTATCGGATCTGACTGTCGGATGTTGACGTATTGTTTACGGATCCGGTAGGGTGGTCTCGACCTGGGTACGTTTTTGAATGCATCATGTGAGTTTAGATGTTTTTTCAGCTATTCTAATCGTATATTACATGGAATTTTAATGCCAAGTTCTTTTGCCAAGATGAGTAGGCCTTTTGATTGTCCTTTGTTGCTACCAATTGTACAAAAACAGTCGATAGATTGTTTTTTACCATCTTCATCTCTGTAGAATATTTCATCAGTTTTACAACGCGTACCAGGCTTCATTCCAAAATTTTCAACCATAATGATAAATAACAAGAAATACAACGTCGACCGATGATAGAAAATGAAGCAGATACAAGCAATTTTTGTAAAGAAAGTTTTCACTCCGTAGTAATCATTGGTTTCATGTTAACGAATGCGCGTGCCTATGGATAGTATACGAGCGAATAGATAAACTAAAATATCTTTGAGAGACTGACGCGTAAAGAGGCCACTAGGTATCGATACGATTCCATACAGCACAGAGGGTGTGTAATGAACCACAAACGTTTGACAAGTGATTTGATAGATTTTCGAAATGACTAACATAAAGATCTGTATCATTATAGACATAAGGCTTCCTTAGAAANAATTTTGAAACGAAAGATTTCTTCAAAAACCATTCCAAAGCCAAATCCGATCGATAATTCTCTTCGAAGTCGTTTATCTCTGCAAGTTTCTTCGGATTTCCTTGATAATACATTTGGCATTTCTCAACGAATTGTTTCTTTCCAAAGTGATTCGAAGGAAATTGATAAAGAACATTTTTCAATAACAAAAACCAAAGAAACTCGGCAGATTGTCTCGAAAAATCTTTCAAAATTTGATTTTCCTGATTCCAAATGGTTAACGTTTGGAATTGTTTCTCAATCGAATTGATTTGCTGTTCGATCGCATGACATAAGAATTGAAAATTGTCGTAAACACCGATTACCTTTGGACAATCGTTGGAAGGTTTACAATTTTCATCGAAGAGAAAAACCGAATCGATCTGCGAAGATTTGTCGATTAATGAAGAAAATTTGACGAAATATTTTTCAGTTAAAATCAAAATCATTGTCTCGTTTTCAATCGATTGAATACGCGAAAAACATTGATCGAATTGATTAAAATATAAAACATAATCGTTGATTTCACGGAGTTGTTTTAATTTAGTTTCGAGATCTTCATTGATGGAATTAAACCAAATAATAGTCACATTTTCGCGATTTTCATCAGTTCGTTCGTCGTAATTCATTGTTTTTCGTAACTATGTCGATTTTTCAAATGTAACGAAGTGAATCGATCGAAGAGTTTTTTTTCATTTCTCTCGCGTCTCAACAAAATCACCGTGTTGCTTTGCTTTTGTAAATTTACTTTTCTCCGGTGAACGTTGTCATATATTTTCACTTTTGATTACACAAACGTTTCTTCGTAGTTAGAAAGAAAACATCTTGAGATTTCTACAGAAGAGAAAGAGAATTTCTCTGTAATAATGATACTGCATTGAATATCGTTTGTTATGGTTCGAAGTTGACAAACGATGGTCTCAATGTGTACTCGGATTCTATTCTATTCGAACGTTGTGAGCAAAACAAAAATAACATGTTTTTTTCTCGTACTTTCATTGTTTGTGAGTAATAGAAAGAGAATTTCTGTTGGAAGAAATCATCGAGAACATATGAGTTCAATAAGCACATGTCTCGTCGATAGTTTCAATGTACTTTTGTCAAGAAGAGACGAGATTTGAGTAGATTATTTTTATTTAAATAGAATAAGTGATTTCATTAATTGATTGAATGAATGTCGATTTTGATCTTGGTGAGCAAATCCTTCGAAAACATCCATTAATGTTTGAAAACGTAACAATTGTGTAACAATTAGTTGAAATGATCGAATTGCTTGTTTTTCTTCGAATAAATGGTTGAGATAACGCCATAATAATGAAGTGTAATAGTTTTGACATTGAAAAATTTCTTTTTGATTTTCATATTTAATAAATTGATCATTGTAACAGTGTGGCATTGATAAACTCGTTGAAAATATGAGAACAACGAGAGTTAATTTCAAGATTAACGGATATTCGATAAACATATCGAAATAGTGGCGTGTTTTGGACATTTGTTGATGGAAATATCCGCCGACCCATTCACTCATGAGTTGTCCGACTAAAAGATTCTCTCGAAAGTTCCTGATGACAATATAATGCAAATGAATGAGAGTTAACTGATTGAATTTAATTAATGAGATTTGATCGGATATAGCGAATTGTTTAAATTGCGGAATTGATTTAAAAAAATGAATTAATGATTCATGTGTATGAGTTTCATTATTCATATATTCGACTAACGATGGTGTTGATGTACATTTGTAAATTCGAAAGCCATCTGTTTGCGAAATACCTTTTTGATACGCGTTTGTGATATTATTCAGTAAACTTCGATCGTCATCCGAGAGGAAATAATTGATTTTTGGAATGGAGATTCTTTTCATGAGAAGTGTTAGACGTTTTTTCTTTCGAACAACGAGCGGGAAATTCTTGGCGATTTGTTTCTCATTGATCGATTTCTTCTGGTCTTTTTCCGAGTTTATCATCTTTCGAAATTGACGTTCTTCGTCAGTTCGAATCCAATCTTTGCGCATCTTCACATCGAAACATTTCTTCAATCGACAATATGTGCATCGCCGTCGCGTTTGTTCAGTGATAATACACAAACCGGAATGACGACATTTGAAATTCGACTGAAAAGTAGAAGTTGCTCATTTGATTTGATACGAAAGGCAATTCTATTTACCAAATCTTTGAAAGCATTTCGACGGAAAAACGCTTTGCAAGACTCACAAGTGATTTGATCGAAATTGTAACCATATGCTCGGGCACCACAAACACGACAAACTAGATTTGATAAATAATCTGCCTCAGAGGTATTCGGCGGAGTTAACCTCTCAATTGAATCCTCATCGATCTAAATTCAATTCATCTTATTTAGACAAAGAGAACAACTCGACATTGACTTTACCGTCGGTATTGATGACATCGTCGGATGATCAGTTAGCATTGCTTTATTATTAAATATCGCAAGAGCATCGTATTCGTCGTTCGACATGAAATCCATTGGGAGGGAAAATAAATCATCGATATCGATGAATTCATCGGGCGGGATCTCATCAAAATCGGTGCTCATTTTCCTCTAAAAAGAAAAAAAACAATTTTTATCATTATTCTTCAGCATGAAATGCAAACGATACATTTTCTTGTAAAGACTGCAAATACGTCGCATAAATGTGTCCTTTTCTTTCTCCAATGTTCCCGTGCAGAAAAAGAAAATGATTCAAATATATGAAAACTATTTTCTTGCGTTAAAGATCAGACAGGAACCGGTAAAAAAACAGACAGAAAAGAAAAAAATTGCGATGAATAACGCGGACTGCCAACGTAAAAGAAACGGAATGTTTGATGTACTTTTGTAAAGAAAAAAAAAAGAAAGCAGTATGTGATATGTGTACTTCGGAATAAGAAGAAAAGACTGTTCCTCTTCTTTTCGCGGAACAACATTCTCGAAGCGAGAAGAAGTAAAATGATAAATTCTCACATCGAGATCTGACTACGAGTCGAATTGTCGCTTGATTTTGTTTAATTTCGATTTCGGTATTCTTCGTTTTGGTCTCCATCGACTATCTTCAGTGAATTCTACTGAAGGTTCAATGATTTCTCTTGAAGATATATTGTATCCATATGTTCTTTCATCATAATTTGTCATAACAATGTCATTCCATCTACTACGTAAAGCACTTTTTATTTTGTTGATGTTTTTTGGTCGATGATCACCATTGTTAACTGTAAAACAAACCATATAACTTTCAATTGAATACTGGCGATATTTGATTTGGAATCGATCGGCTAATTCTCGAAGTTTTTTATTTGATCGTTCGTTAACAATGTAAATCGTAATGTTTCGTGAGCTTTCGAAACGTTGAAGAGATTCACCATTGTGTCCGACAAAACGACCGATTTTGTACAGACATTGTGAAAATGTCAATTTCTCGGTATGTGTTAAGATGACATAGTAAATTGTCGAATCATCACATTGTAATTGACTTGTCGAGAGATTGTTTTTGAGCATTTGAATTTGTTGGCATAATTTGCGTAGATGAGCGATTGTAAAGATGTGTTCACCTAAATAAATTCGAATTCGATTAGAAATCAATATTAGATTTAGTAAACCTTTTTTATTTTCGCATGAACAACATAGTTTCGGTAGTTTTTGTAAAATTGGATAGCTGAACTCTTTCGTTCGATGAAGTTCGTTGACATTGGCATGAAAGTTCGATAAATATTTTCGACTATGTACAATACAATCGTCTGAGATGCCTGTCTTGCTCATTTTTAATCAAAATAAAACATTGCTAACGATTCAAAATGTGACGCATAGGGGAAAAAACAAATATTTTAACGCGAATGTCATTGCACCATGTACACATCAATAAGAAGAAAGAGAACAATTTCTGACGTCATTTTCGCTGAATAGAGGTATAATATCACATGCAAATGGTGTTCTTTTTAGAGGCTTTCATTGAATATATATATAAGATGTGAACGTTTATGTTTGACATAACTTGTACAATGTTAAAATCGATTCTTTAGAAAGAAAAGCATAATTTGAGCAAGAGAATCAGTATTTTGTCAGGAGTGTTTTAACTGTGCATAGTCCACCATGTTTATTGGACATTTTTTCTTCCTTTCTGTCAATATACAATAGTACATAGATGGTAAATATGAATAAGTTTAGATTTGAAGCCTACGCTATACCACTTGATGATGTGTTGACGAAAGAAAAAAAAAGTGTATCGAGAAATGCAATAGAATATGTGTAATTGACATCGCCTGAAGAAAAGATTTCAACTCTTCATATGAATATTTGTTGTGTTATTATGTACCCATGACCCCATATGGGCGTGGCAAAAGACCGAAAATATTTGAATCTAACTGTTTAGATTAACAGTATTTTTGACAGCACTGAGTAATCCACAGAAAGTTCTGCTAACTAATGCATTACTTTTCTTTTCATAGAGAAGTTATCAGGCTTTGTAAAATTGAAGTCTTTGATCTCTTTATTTATATAGTAAGAACGAAAGAATGGATTTGAAGTGGCACCGTATTTTGAAGTACAGAAGAGTAATTTCAAAATTCTCGATTCGAACAAAATAAAATGAAACACTATGAAAAGAAAAAACAAAGTTTGTTTCATTTACGAATGAAAATCGAATTTAGTCTCTTCGAGAAATATTCTAATTTGATCCAAGTGATTATTAGTGCACTAAACATAGAAAGAAAATATTCTTCTACGAAATGTATTTTAAAATTTTGTATAATCTTTCATAAATATGAATCCATTTCAATATTTAAGTGTCAAAACAACGCGGTACAACCGATATCCAGTGGACTGTTATTTTCTTAAACATTCGATCTCGTCCAATCATCTTTTTATTGATCGAATGTTTGATTACAAAGAATTAAACATTTCTGTCGATGTCAATAATCGCGTATATTTGATCGATTATTTCCATTCCCACGCCTTTTGATTAATAACCTCATAATCAATCATTTTTATCTCGAAGATCAAAACATGTTCTCTTCATTTTCTTTCTACGGAATCCATCGATACAGTACTTTCAATCTTCTCAATTATAATGGAAGTTCAGCAATTCGACGTTGAAATCTGTCAATCTCAATCAATCGAGAAGATTAAAACCTACAAAATTTGGTCTATTATCAACACATTTTGTTGTTGTATATGTTTTGGTGCGATTGCTTGGTTTTACTCAAACGAGACGGAAAAATTCGTACTTCTCCGACAAACACAAGATGCAATCAAGACTTCGGAGAAAGCGCAAAGCATCAACATTGTTGCGACAATAGCCGGGATATTTATATTTACACTCTGTTGGATTAATTTCATCATTGCACAACGATAAAGTTTTTTAATTTAATATTTTACATCGGATTGTTGTATGTTAAGTACTTTGGAAATCTACTAATAAAATTAGTTTTGTTTAATTAATATCCGCAGCCTTATAGTTCTAAATCTATTCTATTTGGTGAACCTGTCGAACTTTTTCCTTCGTATTCAACGTTCAGACACAACTGTGTTAATTTATCATTTGGTAGAATCATTCATGCGAATGTAACGAACTGGCTAGATATGATTTTTTGTAATTTCAAAGGCTTTACGTTTGTTTTTTCATCTTCTTTGTACAATCTCATTTGAAATACTTAAAAATATTCATCAGACACATAATTATCCGATGTGTCTTCCTAATTGGAAGTTAAATTAAGAGTGTTTCCAGCAACATTATGAAAACCTTATTTCTCACCAGAAACCCACTGAATTTCATTTGAATTATTATCAAAAAAATGATACCCGATGAAATAAAGTTCATTTTATTTCTCATCTTTTATATTCCTTCAACTCTCTGCACATTATTTGTTCTTTACCACTTATTATTTGATCGAACATTACGTCAGGCACTTCATAACCATGTTATTATCGTTCTTTTAGTCATCTGTTTGCTTGCTGATGGTACGATTTACCCTTGGATGCTCTACTATTATCAGAATGAAAATACATGGAATCGATCGATGATCTTTTGTACTATCTGGGGATTTTTAGATTGGAGTCTTTATATTCTACACACAATGTTATTTGCATGGGCAACAGTCGAAAGACATATTCTCATCTTTCATGATCGATGGATTTTAACAAGAAAGAGACGATTGATTTTCCATTATTTTCCCCTTGTTTTCTTTCCTATTTATTTATTTGTCTTTTATTTTCTTGTTTATTTCATTCCGCCATGTGAAAATTATTCCGATCCCACGTATCCTGTTTGTATGTGGCCGTGTTTATATAATAATTATGCACTTTCAATGTATGATTATGTCGTCGAACAACTCTTACCGACTTTCACCATTGTTTTCTGTAGCATTACGCTGCTTAGACGTGTTTTACGGCAAAGAGTTCGAACACAACGAATCATTCATTGGAAAAAACACCGAAAGATGGCCATTCAAGTTTTATGTATATCACTTGTCTACCTTCTTTTATTATTACCTTATGCTACTATTTATATTCTTCGCTTTTATGTCGGTTTATCAAATCCATTACTCGATGAATTTTCAGCTTCAACATCTTTCATCAGTTATTTCATTATTCTTCTTTTTCCTTTTGTTTCTGCTGTGTCCTTACCAGAATTACAAACAAAACTGACAAATCTTCTTCTTTTACGACGAAAAAGACAAATAAAACCACGTGTGACATTGCTGGTCAGAGTCCATCCAAATGGAAATGATCAACATAATTGAGAGGTTATTTCTCCTTTTTTAACATGCTTTTCGTGTTTTGTCATCGTAATTTTGTCGTGTTTGTATGCATTACAAGTTCATATCGAGGTACAAAATGCCTGATTGTCTTTCGAAAACAAAAACCTAACTTCATTGTAATAAGAAATGACGATTTGAACAAGAACAATCAATACAGAATATATCAATCTTCAACGATAGGATTCACATATAAATTTTGCAAAGGAAATATCAAAACATTAACTAAATTGAGAAATTGCACTTGAAATCGATTTTATCTACGTTTCACAAGTGATGTTATATTTCAATCGCTTCTAATGGCATCGTTCAGTATTATTTGTCTATCTCTTCAACATTAGAGTAAAATGAGAATATCCATTCATATACCATGTGAACTTTAAATGAGTTTTTGACAACAATTCTTTGCCATTTCTAGAAGATATTTAAATTCATTACATTACAATGTTTGTAAAATCGATCTTTCTACAAATAATAACTTCAGTCATATTGCCACATTATCTCGATCGATTTTTCGTGTCATTTTCTTTTTAATTCTTTGTTATTTTCATATTCGAATTATTTTATATATTATGATCCTCTTGACGTTTAGCGAGTTTTCAATGAAATTAATAATCGTATTGACGTATGTTCCTTTGACAATTTCAAGAAATCCTTTTACTTTCTATCGACAATGTACCCAGTACAGATCGAAATCGGCTGATTTACAAACAATTCAGATTTTTATTGTCGATTTTTTTATCCATTGAATTTGTATCAAAAAGTTTTCATGCGAAAATAGACGACGTTTGCGACGTCACAACGATCATTATTACACGGCAGACATTTACTACACTGAAAATATCATTTGATCCCGTTGACACTATGATTACAGTTGATATGCAATAAAGTAGCATATTTATTGCGCGTTGAGAACAATTGGTGCCATCCAGAACGATCATTTCAACTACCGAAAACGAGCGATGTCTTACGACACTAATTTCAGTCTACTCAATCGTGTCAAATAATGAATTCTTTATTTGTTAGGAAGCAGTCAGTAGATTTCAAAACGTAGTAAAAATGGATTAATTGTTCACTTCCTTATGTAAATTCTTTCAGTAGAACTTGAGGTTTGGCAAGGCGAATTATTCTTGGTTGTAATTCCAAACTAATAGGCCTTGTTCGACGATGTCGAATTTTCTTCAATTTCATTCCCAACTCCGGTATTGAAAACAAACACACAAGCGGAAATAACAATGGAACAAAATATACGAAAAAACCAAACTGTTGCAATAACAAGTGGATTTAAGGTGTCCAGGCTACCAAAATCCGTATATAGATGATCGAAAATGGTAGATAAAATAAAAGATAGAGACATGCTATCGAAACGAGTTGAAAGATCATTAGCCGATATTTTCGGTAGTTTATTGATTGACGAAGACGAGCTTTCGATCGATAAACTCGGAGTAAAAGCCCAGTATTACTTATCAGCACACATACTGTTGGAAAAATTATATGAAAATTCGTTTGCCACATACCCAGTAATGGATCAATTGACTGGCAACCATAATAACATACGTTATGGACGAAATCCACTTGAGTTTCACACGGAAAGATGAAACTAGCGTAGATATAAAAGAGGAAAATATAAATGATGACAAGAATCGGTGGCATATAGTGAAAACAAAGATTTCTCCATTTTCCGTTGAATAGGTTATGATGAAAAACGAGAAGATGTCGTTCGATTGATGCCCATGCAATTAACAAATTCATGGTTATAAAAGAGACGGTTTCGACAAAGGATCGAGTTTTACAAAGTGCCAAAGACCAGCGAATAGTTGGTTTTGATCTGTGTGAATCCAAAACTATTGGAATCAAAATAGAAGTAATAATAAAAGGATAGAATAATGCAAATAAAACAACGTAGTTATTTGGTGCTGAACGAAGGGCTTTATTGAAAAGAATAAGAATAAAAACAATGCAATGCATGAGAATAGATGGGATAACGAAGGCCAACAGCAAGCTGAATGATACATTCTTGGAAATAAATGTAAACGGACCGTTTATTTCATCTTCGTCAGATACATTCATTTTGGAAGTTTCGATTCCAAGTTAGAAGAATAGAGAAATAAAAAACGTTGAAAATGTCGATTATGAATGACTTGATGCGTTAATTTATAATGGTATGGACATGTTTTGTTGTGGAGGCGAAAGTTTGAAATAGCATTTTCAAAAATGAATGGAGATGAAAGAGTTTAGAAACAAAAAAGGATTCGCAAATTGATGAGCAGATATCCTTTTATTCCGATGATTATTTGTTAACGATGTAGGAAAGTTAATTTGCCCGGAGTTCAAATAGAAACAAAGCGATTCAATCTTCGAATTCAATTTTGAAGACTAAAGCTGATTGACATCTCTTCCCTATACAGAAATTTGAGATAAAATATTTCGGCTTAATTTGCTATTTGATCAAAGCGAAGAAAGAGTCGATATCAACTTCTGTTCATAGCCTTTGCATCTTTCTCACATTGCCTTTCACAATAGTATTATTCAGCAGAAGTAAAATATGATATTTATCACAAGAAATCACGCTACGTATACAATAAGAAAAAAAAGTTTTCACAATAAGTTTTAATCGTTTAGTTCAGTTTCAATAATGATCGTATGAGAAGTATATTCTCAACTTGTTCTGGATTAATATTTAGTCGGCGTTGATTTATCACCGATTCCGCGCTAGAAAACTGACGTTCAACTCCAGTCGATATGGCTGGGATCGAGAATATCTGTTTAGCTACTTTTGATAATAATGGAAATGTTTCGGAATGAGATTTCCAAAAATCCAAAGGATTTTCAGTTAACACTGATTTATTGATTTGCATTGCAAGATATTTGTCCAGTTCATCTAGCTTTTTAGTTTGCATTGAACATTCATCACTTTCATAACCACTCGCGGCATCTGTATATGTTTCCACATCAGATGAGCTTTCTGCTACAAAACGACTAAATAAATCAGTGCCTATTTTCAATCGTTTTGTCGTCTGTGCAGTTGGATATTCTACAACTGTTTTTGGTAATGCATTACGAAATATTTGTAATTGCTGACGAATATATTGTTGACATTGAAATCGTTCTTCGTTTGAACATCCTCTCAGTGAACGATATTTAGGATGCAACATAGTGGCACAATAATGACGAACGTCGAGAACCAGTAGATCATTTAATAAACCCAAAATTCGCTCTCTGAACCATGTAATACCTACAATCAAATCATTTCTATAGGATCAATGAAACTAAATGAATGATGTTATGTCAACTTAGACTGTGCATTTCTCTTAATAACGAATGAAATGAAGAGGTGAAAGATAAGTTTTACACGTCTCTCTCTTGATGTTTTTCGTATGAGAAATATTGTGCATACTGGAAAAAACGAATAGAATTTCCTATACATTCAATTTGACTCAAAGAGTTACACGTAGCGAAAGTCACTTAAATCCAGTGTATGAAAAACAAGAGGACGATGACTAATGTGTTAACTCAAGGATAAATAACCTACTAGCAAAGTACTCACCTTCCAATTCGAATTCTTCGTCTTCATCTGTCATGTCGATATCACGACTGTTGTTCTCTTTGTCGCAATAATTTCTTTTGTATTCGAGTAATGATTTATACGAACTCAATGCTTCTTTCAATGTTATTGAACATAATAAAACCATGTAGAGAGATGGTCGTTTATCAGTCTGAATTACCGTCATTATATGTTTAAAAGGTTTCAACACCAGTATCAATTGCTTGATTGTTCTTTCGTCTAAATCATTCATTAAGGCTTGGTTTTTCTGGGCTAATAGAAATCGTTTCGTTGCTGGAAACTTTTTCAAAAAACTTTCCAAAAGATCAGACATCGACAGCCATCTAACTATCGTTCGATCGTCCATCTCTCCTTTCTCATAATCGATCCCAACCTAAATTCATAACACAAATGAAATAATAATTCTTCAAACAATAATCTCACCTTTTTAATATATTTCATAATTCTTCTGCATTGCTTCAAAGTAGATAAAACGCGCCTTGCGCATGCTGGAGTTTGGTCAACTGTGATTTTTGTGGTGGGCGATTGTACTGGACTACTGAGTGAAATATTATTCATTGACTTTTCTTTCATTGTTTTTCTTTGATCAACTGGAAAAGCGGTTTTAACCAGAAAGTAATTATCCTCTGATTCATTATCATAGTCATCATCGTCGTCGTCGTCGTCAGATGAAGATTCATTAGTTGAAGTGGCAGTACGAAAAGTTTGTGTTGTATTTCGTGAACCAATGACAATTTCATTTGAAACGGAATTTGTATCATTAGATCTTTTCTTTTTACTTTGAAAAAAAGAAACTTTAAGGATGTCGTTCAGCCTGTGACCAAAGCAGAATACTGGACTCAAGCTGTTAAAAGCACAGATAAAATTCGATCCACAGTCACATATTATATTCACATTGCATAAAGATAAAATACCAAATGGTTCCAAATTTTTGTAGAATGCCTAAAAAATTCATCATTGTATAACCAAAGGTTTTGACATCTAAATGATTGATTGAGTTATTATCTCAACGAAATTTTCTGTTTCCTCTATGTCATAGGTGAATTGGATCTTTAAGGAGAACGATCAAATCAATTCAGAATGATTAGAAGTTTTCTTCGATCTGTCTGTAATTCTATGATGAAGAATAAATGACTTACAGCGAGTGTTGATTCAGGTGTTTTCTTCTTGAATTCGAATGGTTGACAGAAAAGATCAATTGATTCATATGTGTATTCATTATCAATAAATGTTATTGTCGCTGTCAAATAGGAAGTTTTCTTGTAATTATCGGTCCAGTAATTAGGACAGATGGTCAACGAACGTTGTTGTAAAGGGAACGATATGATTTCTTTCACTCTTCTACGTAAATCATCGGCAATGGAAAAAATGTTACGAGAGAACGTTGGTTCACCACGAAAAATATGATTAACATCGATTGTTCCATAAATACAACCTATCAAATATATTTCAAAGAGTTAAGATATACGTATCGCTTATTTCTTACCTATACGAATACATTCTTGAACTAATTTTCTTAATCCATCATCATCTATTATACCGAAAGGTCTAATAGAACCACAAATCCATTCCACACATAATCTTTTTATTCCTTTATTGTCATTTTCATTAATCTTCTTCGAGTGCGAATATTCTGTTTGATTCAATGTTGACGAAGGTGATGACAGTCTAAGAGATGGCAAATCAAGGTTAGATAATGATGCATCGCTATTGACTGAAGATGAATTTATCGTAATTGAAGACATTGCAGGTAAATTGGATTTCGGCGAACATTTATCCGCATGTTCCTTGAAACGTTTTGTACCACTGGTGTTACTATATGCTTGAGTATGCATACAGTTAAAGCAACTAATAAAACCGGGAATTCTTTCGAATGTATTTGAATTGTTCAGTATAGCTGGAAAGCCAAAGCATCTCCACCATTCAGCTTTGGATGGTGTTTTATTTTCTATGACTCGATACTTTTGTCTTTCATTCAACAAAAGATTTTTAATTCTTTCAGAATTGAAAAACATTCGATTTGTCGATAATGTTGTTCCAGCATCTTCATTGGAATATTCAATCAAGTCAATTGTAGGTGTAGACTCTTCATTCGATGAAGAAGAAGATATCCGTAGTGCACTTCTATAAGAATTCATTAGTTATTAATCTACAAAGAAATGAAAATTGAAAAAATGACTAATAATTCTTTGTCGGTATAATCTTTTAATAGAAATGAAATCGAATGAACCTAATAGCGAATTTAACAGCTATACAAAAATAGCTACTCAGCATCTAAATAACAAAATTATTTTGAGCATATCATGATTGAACTAATAGAAAGTGTATACTTAGACAAATACCATATGCACATATACTATTTACATAATCAATATGTATAGTGCATTTATTTCCAAGTATGTACCGTACAGGACAATCTCTATGTCACGTTGTTCTTACAGGTAGATGCTGAAAACAAACAACAACAAAAGCATTCATATTGACATAAAGTGAGAGCAAGGCACAATACTCCTACCTTTTTCGTAAACGAAATATCAGTGGATTGTTTTATACGATAAATTCAGGTAAATCTTGTTTAAATGAACAGAAATAGCCTTGTACCAAGCGAGTTTCATCATTCTTTGTCGCGACAGTAACAGGAAATGGTGTTTTTGAATATCTAATTTCATTTGTACATCTTCTGCACAGAATACGTAGTTTTCTAATGAATTTTTGAACACCATTCTTAATAATATGATATTGGAAAATGTTCATCAACAGAATATCTGATAAGATAACTGATGTGTTGATTAAACTAAATTGAAGATGATACGAATTGATTTTCAAGTGAATCAAGATTATCCAAGTTAGTATCGCATGTCGTGTCGATGCGTTTGACTATAAAGAAATAATGATTTCTTTACCAAGTTAATTATCTCTGTCAAGTAAGCATACGCTCAACGATGGCAGGATATTGACTTCGCCAATAGTTCGTAAGATGATAATTATCAAACGTATAAATTACACGGGAGCCTATGATTATTCGTACTAAGTTTGATTTGTTTGCGTATCACGATTGCTATACCATTAACAAAAAGTTTAAGCATATAAGTTTGCATCGACGACACAAATGATTGCTGTTCTATAGGCAAAACTAAAAAGACTATTGGTATTTTCCAATGGATTCAGAATGTAGATCGTTTATTAAAAGATTCCCATTACATACCGTTTCTACTTCATTTGTGTTGGTTCGAGAATGTGAAGATAACACTGACATTCTTTGTTTAAATAGAAACAGAAGTTACACATTGTTTTCTTTATCTATTTTTTACGGTTGAATAACTGATACTTTTTGCGTTCTCTCACTACCAGTATGAAGCTAGCTTCACACCAATTCTCTTCGCTGCTGCCTTCGACGGTAGTTCACTCGATAACACTGCAAAAGAAAGGATGACTTCTATTCAGAGTTCAGAAGAAATGTCAGGCCATGAACTTCCCGAGAGTCTTACGATTTCAATCATTTGTTCACAACTTTTTTGACCAGCTCGAACACTGTTTTGCTCTCTTGCAATACATCAGCTCATAGTGGTTTTGCTTACCGTTTCTGTTCATAGCGCTGCTCGGTGAAAAGTCTTCAAAAAACAAACCATTTCCATCATATAGCATTCACGCTTTTGAACATTTCTACGTTGTATTAATTGATGAAAGAAATTCGCGATATGAATGCAAGTTTGGCTCTTTTTTTCCAGAAATATTAATAATAACTTCGGTTAAATGAATTTCATGAAAGTAATCTCTTGAAATGTAAATAGTGAATACATTGCGCACATTTCAGATACGAAGCATCTATATTGTATCGCCTCGCGAGTTTTCTTTCTTTCTTTCTATACTATATGCGTACGCGTACAATTTGGTTATTTTGTGTCGCGATGATCTTGAGAATTATGGTTGAAACGTGCAATGAAAGTACAAATGTTGAATTTAGAGTGTTCAAAACTTGTTTTTGGATAAACATCTTCGTTAGTTTACAGGAAACGTTAGAAAAAGACGAGTTTGGCTTTGAGTTTTTTTTTCAGATAACTAAAAAAAAGAAAGTTAGGTGCGACTTTTCCAAAGCAGTTAATGAATAACTGGATAATGATAATCAATCAATAAATACCGTTTCAAGAGAAGGTATTTGATCGAAACATGGAGGTTTTCTTCATTTCAATTCGATAATTTTCAAAACTATCATTTATTACTAAATTCTAACGAAAGAAGGCAAAACGTTTACTTCATACTGACAAATCGATGTACAACAAGAAAATAGACAATAAATAGAGTTGCAGCTAGTGTCAATTAACTTTCCTTTGTATCGAACAAATGTGTACAGGTGAAGAGAGAGAGAGAGAACGTTATTGTTATTATCTTCGAAGGAGACGGTAAATAATGATCAAGCTTTGTGTCTTTAGGTCATGTTGAAACGAATTTTACGGTTTGTTTGAATGGTTTCATTCAAATGATTGTATGAAAATATTTTTAGAAAGATATATAAGAATGAACAAACCTTTATTGTATGTATCTTCATGTCGTGGTGAAACGACTTTTCCTTTCTATTTATCTGACTTCACGTACTCTGTGTTATATGAAAATATTTTTGAAAAGACAAGCCATAGCGGTCAAATCTTTTGTTCTTTGCACCCTCAGGTCGTTATGAAATGACTTCTTATTCCTATTAGTTTTACTTGACATACGGTTAAGTATATCGGAGAGCCCTTTTCAAAAGATTAATCTTTCTGTCGTATGACATCGGTGATATTAGTGGTTTTGGCTAAAAATAATAAACCGATGTTTATTCTGTTTTACGAAGAAACTTCACTCTGAATCAAGTACTGGATAGGACAGACGTTTCACAACAGTCTTCTTCAATATTGATATAACCTGAATAAAGTTAACAGATAGAGTATGGTCGAATCGAACATTTTTCTCGTATGACTGCAACACAGAAAGTTTGACCTGCCGTTTTAAGTATCGAAGGTGAGAGAGCGTGTAAAGAGCCTATGAGTCCAGAATTTTCACCTCCGCTCGCTAATATTCGAACAGCGTTGAACGAAACTTTAAAAACTTTCGTATGGAATTTTGAGCAAAATTATCACCTTTTACACGTATTTTTACGTATTATTTTCAATGAAAAATCTTGTCAATTTTGCACAAATACGGGTAAAGAAGTAGTTTAAATATATGCGCATACGGAAAAACAGCTCATCATCAGATCTCTTAGATATGATATGATTTTTTTCCCTAAAACCTATTCTTTGATGATATCTATACGGTTTGCTACCAAAAACCACGATTTTTTAAAGTTGTCTTGCGTTTTTCTCGAAATGTAGGTTTGACAACGTATTTGGAAGAAACTGGATCATAATACTTAGTAAAGTAAAATTTTTTATTTGAAAGAACGAGTAGTGTAGAAATTGTTAACTCGATTTGAGTATTAAACTACTCCGTCGAGTTCTAAACTTGTTAACGTGTCATTTGAAAGTTTGGGAGCATAGTGATTCCGATAGTATGGTTTATGCGCCCAGTTGTGCCACATTTCGTTTTATCTCTGTACTATATAGTCTAAAACATCCTCACACCCACCCTCTAGATGGGTTAACGACACTCCCGTACTCCGAGTGGTACTCCAGAGCATGCTCCCCACGTCGGCCTCTGATAAATTAAATTTTCTTTGAATGTATTCGATTGTACTCCATCACTTCAACAGTTGCATATCTTGGGTTTCAAATCTGGAGTCGGCTGTTTCCCCCCTTGTCTTGCACAGTGTTTACATGTAAAAAACATGTCGAATATTCACTTCATTGCTTATAATCATAATTACGAAGAAAAAAAAAGGTATATGAAAAAAAACGAAACAGAAGAGATAAGCATGTGCTCGAAATGAATAGAGGAAAGAACAAACAAATTATTAGAGAGTAATATTCGGTCGCGAATAGAAATTATTTTTTATGTCAATAGATGATGGACTAATCATCCATTTTTTCACTTCAAACAAATTAACTAATGTATTGGTCAGATTCATAATCGAATATTAGTAACTATACATATTGTGAATAAGTTATTTTTCAGATTGAGATGACAAATTCAGATACTGATCATAAATCAGTTGATAACAACGACGATGATGCGGACATTTTCAGAGAAGGACATCCANATGTGTCGCCATATGTTCACATATGGAAAGAGAACAGAAAACATATGTTCACATATGCGAGAAGAAAATGTGAAGAACGCAAGAAAATGAGACGCATGATGCTAACTAGAGGATGACATATATGTCATCCTCTAACAGGGGTTACAATAAGAATGGCACTATAATAGATCAGCGACGTATACACTAGCGCAGATCGTAAAAATATCGCAAGAAGTATATGCAAATTAATTATGAGTATTGATCAAGTAAGTCGATTTTGTTAATCATTAGTATGTATATAACAATAGATGATAATGGACATTGACTATATTCATCGAGAGAATAGATTTCATAATGAAGTGGTTTAACAATTAAATGACAAAAAGATTCATCATCTTGACATGGACAATCACTAATTCCATCACATAATTCTTCCAATGGAATACATTACGAGTCATTATAATAATGAAATCTTGTTGTAAGATTATGTGAATAATTTCTTGCTCAATAATCAATATTTTCATTAACACTACCAAAATAGTCGATTTCTATTTCGTTTATTCGACACCCTCAATCATACGAATTGCATATCAATCGTCGACTATTCATTTCGACGAAAATCAGCCTTTTGCCCGTGATTTAATATTATTGCATTAGCTTTTATTCTCCTGCTCGTATATTTACTTTATCAATAAAACTAAGCTCATAATCTAATTTTACACTGCCTAATTTTGATGAAAAGTGTTCTGCCTTTGCAACGTGACGAAAAAGAGGTCATTAGAACTTCCTTTGTTCTAAATTTCAAACATTTTGCTACTAATTGGCTCAAGTTCCGCTCATTTATCGGTATAGCGTCAGTTAATCAACTCGTCTTGTTATATTTAGCACTTCTTCTTCATTTCTTTCTTCATCATGGCAACTAGCACAACTATCGTTAAGTTTGGTGTGACCACAAAATGCATGCGTGTGGTTTTGTTCGACGGATACATCTATACAATGAACCAGAATCGTGGGAAAGTGAAATACTGGCGATGCCAAGATCACATCTGCTCTGCTTTTGTTCATACCGATGGGAACGACAACTACAAAGCACATTCGGGTACTCACAAGAGCTTGCAGCGTCAAGGCTGAGTCAAACTGCGTTGGCGTTAGCTCCTTTTAAACTATGTGTTTATCTTTCATTTGACTCAATGCTTAGAGCCGTCTCTATCTCACATTCGTCGGCAAACAACACCAGCTCTTTCCACTTCGCGTGATTTGTTTTATTTCTAGTTGTGTCCTGTGTCCTCGCTCTACTTCCTGGCCGATCTGCTACCGTCTGCAAACACCTATTCCAGATGCTTGACGGGTAAGCCACAGATTTACGCATGTCTTTGGAACCAGAAATGATCACGAGCGACTTCGAGAGTGGCTTGATCAAGGCTGTGAAACAGCATGTATGTTCTCTACCTCATTTCACCTTAATATCTACTTTTTTGCTTTCGATTTCCTGCAGTTCCCGATGTCTAGACATATCGGCTGCTACTTTCATTACACGCAGAGCATTCACCGTAAAATACAGACACTTGGATTGTCAACAGTCTATAAAGATGACGAAGAAGCTCGCTTTATCTATCAACAATTAATGGCACTCGCTCTTTTGCCATTGAAGAAAGTGGAGCCTGCATTTCAAACACTTACCGACAGTCATCCTGAGTCGCTGGATGAATTGTTCGAGTACTTCGAAACTGTCTGGATGGGAACCACATCTATCGATTTATGGAACGTGTTTGATCTCAAAACGTGGACGAACAACAACGCTGAGGGTAAGACTCTTTCTTTCATCTGTATTCATTACACTCGAAGATCTTTTACTTAGGCTGGCACAACAGATTTTCTCATCGCATTGATAAGAAACATCCCAACATCTGGCATTTTATTCAAGTTCTCCAAGAGGAAGAAGTTCACTTCAATCAACACATTCAGCACGTGCGCATGGGAAAAAGAAGGTGTATGGGCAACGCACATGTCGTATGCAAGAATGCCTCGAAACTCTTGCAAATCGGTTCAAGAAGAAACAGATCGAACTCATGAGCTATCTTCAGGGTCTATCACTTCTTGTTGCGAAGAAAACATAGCTTCCAGCAGAGGCAGCATATTTCATGATTTCGTGACGCTGCTTTTTCTCCTTCTTCTTATCACTGTACACTTTTGTTGTTTTACTTGCTTAGTGAAGTAAATAAAACACAGATTTATTTCCTCGACTGAAAGGAGGGCCATGTCGGGAAAAAGTGATCAAAAACTGAAATTCGTTTGTGTGTGTTTCGCAGGTCAAAGGCCCAAGGTCAAAGATCAAATATCTTTATCGTATTAGAGAGTCTGAGGATCTCTATGAGTCCTGGAGTCCCATATAGTGTGGTACCCATAGGTTCTCAGGTCGCACGCCAGGGGCGTACTCCTGGGTCCTCAAGTACTATACTAGGTGGGTACTCCTAGGTCTTCAAGGCGTATATAGTGGGGGTAGCCATAGGTCTTGAAATATTATATGAGAAATGAACCCGACTGTCGGCCGCATGTATGGCTATATGTGTATGTAGATTGTGAAGGTTGAGCTGTCGCAGAAGAATTCTCTTTGGTTGGAAACTTGATTAAAATCGGTCGTATCAGCCTTTGCTTCAAAATTGTGTCGGATTGAAGTTGGTTTGAATTTTGAAAGATCATTCGAAAAGGGCACCAAGCGAAAGAGGGAATGATATTGTCATGTCAAAATTTTAATTCAAATAGGTAATTTTGTTGAGATCTATTGAAAATAAAAATTTCGAAAGAAAATTCGATGGATAGACAATTTTTAATAACAGATATTATTATAAATCGAGAACAATAGAGCTCTCGGTCAATATTGACCATCTTCAGTATGAGCACATGGTTCGTCTATTAGTAATCGAATTGAAAACACAAGTAATGCTCATCCTTTGGATTCGCTGACCCTTTTCTGAAAGACTTTTCCGAATGCTGAACACATTCAGAGACTTTGAAAGAGAAAAACGCACTGCGATTGCTACTGGTGCTCAACTGAATCATGGTACTATGTCACACAATAGAACTAGAATAAATAGGATACAGTGGTCTTTCTAGGAATCAGACCGATTAGCCATTTGTCAGTGGATAATTCTCCAGCAC